CCAACTGTCAGACTCCGACGAGCCAGAGCCGCCACTATCTGACCAATCTAGACACTTAAGCAGCGCGTTAAGGGAAGATCGAAGGTTACTCGAGGACGTGCGGGCGGGATCATCGTTACGCAATGGGCCACGGAGAGAAGAGAAGGTGTATGAAGAGGCGTTTGCGCCCCAGGGTCTACGCAATCTTCCTGTGCGAGATGGGAACCAGAGGGGCCCAAGAGAAGCAGAAGCGCCCGCCGCGAAAAATATACCAGATCAGGGTAAACCACAACCCCCGAAGACCTTGATGCTAGCGGAGAACTATGTCGAGATCAGCCCGTCGGAGACAACTCTGTTACGAGACCTCCCGTTCACACTACAAGGGCTCACGTCAACGACTCTGGCGTTCCCCTCAACATCAGTCCTCAAATTACCAAATACGCTTCCGCCACCCATAATCTCTATACTACACACTCTTGCAGAACCGTCGTTGCTATATAGGGGCCTGACAGAATTTGTCGCGTCCACTGAGGGCGGCCTCCTCGGCCAAAGTCTCCGCGCAGCAGTCGCGGGAGAGCTAAGGTCGTATCTGGGGCTAGTGGCGACATTAGAGGGGCAAATAAGACGAGCGCTGTCGTCTCTAGACGAAAATGAGCCTAGAGGTGGAATCGGAAAGGCTGGAGTCACGCTAAAGAGATGCGTTGTCTGGACTCGTGAAGCCACCATGGGGCTACGCCTTCTCAGTCTCATCGCGGAGGAGTCGAAGAACCGGCGAGGCGGGCAACTGATATCGCTAATCCACGGATTCTCTTCCTCTCACGGAGACCCTTTGGTTGGAGCATTTGCTGAGAGGCTCCTGACACATGTGACGCGGCCATTCTACGACATGTTACGGCAATGGATTTACGACGGCGAATTATCGGACCCATACCATGAATTCTTCGTCTCGGAGCAAGATCCAAATGCTGTTAACACTGCAGAGGATGGGCGCAGTCGAGGTGGTGCGAGCAGCGTCTGGGAGGATAAATATAAGCTCGATGATGATATGATACCGAGCATCATCACGGAAGACTTTGCACAAAAAGTGTTCCTGATTGGGAAGTCGCTCAATTTCATCCGACATGGCTGCGGTGACTCTTTGTGGGTCGAGGAATACTCGAAGGCCGCTTCGAAAGAGCTTCGATATGGCGATACGGAGACTCTGGAGACGTGGATTGATGAGGCTTATAAAACAACAATGGCTAGGTTGATTCACCTTATGGCGGAAAAATTCCAGTTGTTTGAGCACCTCAAGGCACTTAAGAACTACATCCTTCTCGGCCAAGGCGACTTCATAGCGCTGTTGATGGAGTCATTGTCGGCCAATCTGGATAGACCTGCCGGCGCCCAGTACCGCCATACTCTGACGGCACAGCTTGAACATGCGATCAGGGGCTCCAATGCACAGTATGACTCGCCAGAGGTGCTGAGGAGGCTAGACGCGAGAATGCTTCAGCTGTCGCACGGCGACATTGGCTGGGATTGTTTTACACTTGAGTACAAGATCGATGCTCCAGTTGATGTAGTCGTCACAGAATGGGGCAACCGCCAATACCTAAAAGTCTTCAACTTCCTATGGCGCATCAAGCGAGTCGAGTTCGTCCTCTCCACCACCTGGCGCAAATGCATGACCGGCGCCCGCGGCGTCCTCCAAGGCATCGACGCCAGCGTCGGCGAAACCTGGAAGTCCACCCGCGGCGTCGTCGCCGAAATGATCCACTTCATCGGCCAACTCCAATACTACATCCTCTTCGAAGTCATCGAGTCCTCGTGGGACGAGCTCCAAACCGCCATCCACAAGGAAGGCTGCACCCTCGACGACATCATCCGCTCACACACCGACTACCTCAACGCGATCACGCACAAGGGCCTCCTCGGCGCCAAGAAGCGCGGGCACTCCGACGACGCCCCGAGCACGTTCATGATGCAGCTTGGCGACTTGCTGCGCATCATGCTTGCCTACCGCGACGCTGTTGATGGGCTGTATAGCTGGAACGTCGCCGAGTTCACGCGTCGCCAAGAGGCCTCCATACGCGTTAGCTCGCGCATGGATATGTCCGACGACGAGGCCCTGCCCACCCCCGCGACGACGCGGAGGGGCCCAAAACACCTCGCCCACGACAGTTTGAGTAGCACGCCTGTTCCTGGCGCGATTCCGGGGCTGCGCAGTGCGGGTGGCGAGGACGAGTTGTTGCCTACGCTGCAGGAGCGGTTGAAGGCGCTCGGCGGGCAGTTTAGGGCGAAACTCAGTGCGTTGCTGGGGGATCTGGCGTATCAGCCTGATGTGGATATGCGGTTCTTGGGTGTGGTGATGAATTTCAATGATTTCTACCAGCCCGTGCGGAGGAGGACAGGGACGAAGGTTCCGTCCAAGGAGAAGGCGAGGTGAATGAAGTAAGGGCTCCAAAAAAAGGGTCTTGTAAATCAGGATTGGTTTTTACTGGGAGCAGACTTGGGACGAGAGTTTTGGGATTTGGGGGGGGGGAGTTGTTGATAAAAAGAGGTGGGCGTTGGAGGTTACTGTAAGAAAATACGATACCCACGACAACAAACGGGCGTTAGATATTCCACTAGATGCAGAGAATATCAGAGAGAACGATCAATGCAAAACACGAGCTAGCTTTCCCAATGCATGCTGCGCTTCATATACCCCTATTCACCCTACCCATTTACACCACCAGCCCCCCTTTTCACCCGCCCATCTATCTACGCCAACCCCTCCACCTTCCACAACTTCACCGCCGCATCCCCGCCCACACTAGCAACCATCCCCTCCCCAGCCCACACCACGCCATTCACACCGTCCTTATGCGCATTCGCCGCCTTAACCCGCTTCCCGGGCTGCCCCACGCTCCAGACATGAACATTCGTATCCAACCCCCCGCTAACGGCGTGCGTCCCCGCCGCATTCCACGCGATACTCTGGATGCGCGCCGTGTGCGCTGACCAGCGATCCGTAGCCACCTCCCACGTCGCCGTGTCGTAGACGACGATCTTGCCTGACGAGTTGCCGGCAGCGAGAAGAGTACCGGAGGGGGAGAAGGAGAGCGCTGTTACTTTTGCGGTGGATTTCGAGAGCACGGTTGAGGGAGTGAGGGTGCCGGAGCTGGAGACGGTGAAGATGTGCACGCTGGACGCGTCGTCGCTTACGGCGAGGAGGCCCTTGGAGGCTGCGATGGCGGTGGGTGTGAAGTCCTTGGTTGCGTGCTGGTGGACGAGCTTGTCCTTGGAGAAGACGTCGATGCCGGTTGTGGTGGCAATGTAGACGCGGCCGGAGGCGGAGGCGATGCCGTTTGGCTGGGCGTCGAGCTTTGTGCTCTCGCCCACGAAGGTCTGCGTCGGCTCATCTACGATGCGCAGGTTGTCGTCCCATCCGATGCTGTAGACTCGGTCGGGGGTGGCTGTGAAGCCGGTTACCTGGTTAGTGTGTGTTTGGCCGCGGACTGCAAGGCCCTTTCCAGAGGCGACGTCCCATGTGCATACACGGCCTTCGAAGCTGCCTGTCCACAGAGTCTTGTCGCTAACGCCGATGGCTGTGACGCTGCGGTTGTGGCCTTGCACAACCCTGACCGGCTTGTCGGAGCCTTCGGTGAGATAGCTCAGGTCACCGTTGAGGTTAATGCTGATAATCAACCCATCGCTTCGTCCAGCGGGCCACACAACACCGACTTGATGGTCTGGGACGCTGACGTTGCCTTCTCCACCGAAGCGCCATGTCTGCACGTTCTTTCCAGACTCGACATCCCAAACCCTAACCGTTTGGTCCGCGCTGCAGGTAACGAATCGTTTCGAGTCCTTGGACCACGAAACGCCGAAGATAGAACCCTTGTGCTCGCCCTCGCCGATCTGCTTTGTTGCCTCTCCTGTCTTCCCGTCGTAAAGTTGTATTCTCTTGTCGGCGCCGACAGAGACTAGAGTGCTTCCATCTGGTGAGAATGCAACACCATAGACGTATCCCTTGTGCAGCGCTCCAACCTTCGAATTGAACTTGAACGGGGCTCCGTGCAAGAAGACCATGCTCATATCGTCACTCGCAGTAGCCGCTCGCAGGGGTCGTTGCTGCCTAATCGAAACGCTGTTAATGATCGAGGAATGCCCGCTGATTTCTCCCACAGAGTTTCCGCTATCAGCCGTAATGCAGTGGCCGAAGCGCTCGCGGCCATCTCCAACTGCTATTATGCGCTGCGAGTCGCCGTCCCACGCAATGTCGTTGATGCGCCCAGATATGATCGGGTATTCGCCCTTGGTGTTGACCGCCTCTACCGCATCCCATACACGCACCAAGCCCGAGGCATCTCCACTGGCAACGTAGTATCCGCTGGGCGAGAAGCGTGCAACGGTCGTTTGGGCGGTATGGCCGGTGTACTGCTTGCTGAGTTCGGGGTTGTCGATGCTCCTTAGGAAGATCGATTTACCAGACTATAGACATCAGACATGGGCGATTGTAGGCATTCTATGGGAGTGGTGGACTGACTGCATAAGCTATGCGCTCGCCTTTTGGGCAGGCAGACAGCTGTGTGGGCTGCCCGCGGTTTGTGGCCGGCGACGCAGCTAGGACGGACTCGAGAGTAATAGACATGGCTTATAGTAGTCGCAACGCTGCAGATAATAGAATCCAAGAATGAGAACAAAAATGAAAATGAAACTCAAGTTTTAAGCGCCTGAAGTAGCAGTGAGTGAAACTGATACCGTTGATGTCGCGAGCTTACTGTTGACGATGACGAGGACGGGGGCTTGGGGTGGTCAGTAGTGGGGCAGGTCAATTCGTACCCCTCTTCCCCTCTTCGCGCCAAAATGTCGTTGCCTCCACTACAAAACAGCTCGAATACAGTGCAGCACGAATTCCTTGGGAAAGAGCACACGGCTTTAAACACTCCAACAGCACGGCATAGCGAATATCAAAAAGATAAATAAAAAAAATATAATCAAAATAGCAAAACACTACAGAAGACAACTCAAAACATGAAAAAAATGTTTTTTGCTGCTCACAGTGAGGTTCGAACTCACGCATCTTTCGATAATGGTGTTTCAGAAATTTTCTTAAAACCATCGCCTTAGACCACTCGGCCATATGAGCTGTGTGATAAGGAAGAGCTCGCTAAGCAGATCTAACACCCAAGGGCATGAGCGATGTGCGGGTACGTATCTTTGTATAGATAGCATATCGACCCCACTCCATGTGCGAGCTTCAACTATCACTCTCTTACTCACTAACTTACTTACCCCTCTTCATAAACATCTTGGCAATATCAATATCCAGATATACTCTTTTATTGAATCCGCAACTGGTAGGAACCATACACTTCCCATCCTATATTCAAGACCCTTCACTCACAAATCCCCCAGCAAAAACCCACCCACCAACCCCTACCCCACCATCACTCACCATGTCCTCCTCCGCCCCCGGCCTCACGCCCGCCCAAATCGAGTCCTTCAACCGCGACGGCTACCTCATCATCCCCCGCGCCCTCGACTCACAGACCGTATCCACCCTCCTCGCCGAGACACACAGTCTCCTCGAGAACTTCTCCATCGAGGACCACCCCATGACCCGCTTCTCGACCGGAGAGGGCGAGGGCGTAGAGCACGTGGGCGACGACTATTTCCTAGAAAGCGGCGATAAGGTCCGCTTCTTCTTCGAAGAGGGTGAGTTCTGATCCCCCCCATCTCTCCTCTATCCAAACACCTCCCAACCGCCCCGTTCTGACTCAGTCACCCAACAACCCGGCTTCTAAACACCCCCTCTAACCCCACCCAGACGCATTCGACTCCACCGGCACCCTCCAATACCCAAAACACCGCGCCATCAACAAGATCGGGCACTCCCTACACACCCTCTCCCCCCCCTTCGCCTCCCTTCTCTCCTCCTCCCCCACCTCCCCCTCTCCCCCAACCATCGCCCGCTCCCTCGGCCTCTCAACCCCCCAAGTCCTCCAATCAATGATAATCTGCAAACAACCCTGCATCGGCGCCGCCGTCCCCCCCCACCAAGACAGCACCTTCCTCTACACCTCCCCCCCCTCCGCATTGGGGTTCTGGTACGCCCTCGAGGACGCGACGAGGGAGAATGGGTGTTTATCGTTTCTGCCTGGGAGCCATAGGTGGGCTGCTGTGGGGAAACGGTTTGTAAGGAAGGCAGATGGGAGGGGGACGGAGTTTGTGGAGAACGATGGTCCGCGATTTCCTAGGGGGCAAGAGGGGGGGGAGGGGGAGGGGGAAAAGGGGGAGTATGTGATGGGAGAGGTGAAGGCGGGGGACTTGGTGCTGATTCATGGGAATTTGTTGCATAAGAGTGAGAGTAATAGGAGTGAGAAGGGGAGGATCATATATACCTTCCATGCTATTGAGGGGGAGGGCGCGGTGTATGATGAGAGGAATTGGTTGCAGCCTCCTGCGGGGGGGTTTACGAAGATTTAGGGTGGGGGATATGTGGATGGCTTGCATGGTGTACATAGGGGAGGCAGATTATTATGAGGCACGGTTTTAACAAGGGGGTAGAAGTGTACAGACGAATCGTTACATTGAATTTCAGAGCCATACATACTCTATCTTGGTATCGGACAACAAATAATCATTACACATGCAACACCACCACCCGCCACTCCTCCCTCCAGCCCTCTCTCCATTCCTTCCTCCACCACACTCTGCGTAAAAAAACGAAAAAAGAACCGCTCAAGATCGTATGTATATGCAATACACAAAATACACAATATAAAACACAACCCAACACCCCATCATCCCACTCATCCCAACCAACCTCCCACCTTATACACCCCTAAACATCCTCACAACAAGGAACCACATCGCGCCCAAGAACCTAAACGCCGACAACCCCGCCACCGACCACAGCACAACAGCCATATACGTATTCGCCTTCGAGTTATCCGCCGTCGACCCATCGAGCGTCAAGTTGCTCTGCCCCCCCGTACTTAGCACGACCGCCACCAGCGCAATATTACAGCCCATCCAGATCAGCACCACAGACGATCGGAAGCCCTTGTAGTAGTCCTCCTGCTTCTCGCTGGCGGAGAAGACGCGCTTCTCGGGCGGCGCCTTGGAGGCGAACACGCCCACCTCGCTGAGGTACTGCTGGTTGAGGTCGGCGTCGTCGGTGGGGATGGTGACGTCGACCTTGCCGTCGGCTTTCACCTTGGCGCTGGGCAGCTTCTCGGCTTTGTCGTCGCCCTTGGTGCCCCAGGTGATGTCGTGGGTGTTGCAGAAGGCGTAGACGTTGAGGATGTTGATGTAGGTGGGCGTGAGGGCGAGGTATTGGAGGAAGGAGGTGAACATGTGCCAGGGGTCGAAGAAGAGGAAGGATACTACGAACCAGAGGACGTAGGTCGAGACGAGGGAGACGATCAGGGTGAAGAAGATTTGGTTCTTGAAGAGCTCGCCGACGGAGAAGGTGACGTTGAGGTCGAGCTCGTGCTGGATTGACTTTACGGTGATGAAGATGGAGGCGAACATGAGGTATCTGGATAGGGGATTAGCTGTTGTGTGGATGAGAGAGGGGGGGATTACTTACGCCATGATGAAGACCCAGAAAATAACCATGGTCATGTAGAAGACACCCGAACCCTGCGGCCGATTACCCAAAGCGAGCACGAAACAGGACAGCAGCGTAGCAGCGTAGAGCCACTGGAAGATTTCGGCCAGAATCCTGCCCACATTCCCCAGCAGATCTGTAGACCCAAGAGATGTAGTCAGGATGCGGAAAACCAAGTAGAAATTTCCAATAGCGAACCAAGCGAAGATCATGTTGATAGTCTGGTAGAAGAACTCGATCAGGAACGCAATCTGCCTGAATAAGCTGTGGTCGCTCCGGAACAGCTGGTAGAAATGCGTGATGGCGTAGACGGCCGCGAAGAAGGAACCGTTAAGCCATCTACGTCGCTGCAGAATCAACTCGGCCATGGTGTCGGGCACATCGGTCTCGCCGGTGGCAGACTTGACGTATTGCAGAACCCAATGGCACTTCCTCTTCGAGACCAGCTCGAAACACAGAATACGATCCTCGGCAAGGTACATATTAGCCGTGAAGATACCGGCGTTGGCACCGTGCATCTTCTCTCCCGCAAAGTATTTCTCCAGTGGTCCTTGGCCGAGCTTATCGTTTTGCAGCGCAATATATCTGTATGCTGAGAAGGCACCGGGGAGCACGGAAATGAATCCAAACGCCGATTCCAAAGGCTTGTCCAGAATATTACTCATCTTGTACTCAAAGTTTTGAGTCGCCACCAGTGGGTTCATGAGGTTCTTGCCTCCGGGCCCCAACATAGCCTTGATCTCACCGCAAGCTCCCGCGCAATTTGGCTCGAGGTCGAAGGCCTTCCACAGCTGGTAGATGGAGTCCTTACCAGGTCTAGTACCAGCATCAATGAGAACACAGATGTTGGGGTCCAAAACTCTTCCGAATGCCTGGAAGAACCATCTGTGGGAGTTGATCTTCTTCTGATTCTTCTCCTTAAGACAGAAAAGCATCTGGACTGGCTGTTGCTTGTGTCTCAGCGTCACAACGTCTCCCTTGACTGAGATACCAGTTTGTGTGGTGTACTCGTAAATATGCGCCGTGACATCCTTCCCGTTGACTTGCTGCTTTGCAATTCCATCCTGGTAGACTCCCATTCCGGAAAGCACCGCCTTAGTTCTTGGGTTGATCTTTGAACGACCATCACTGACAACGCAGACAACAATCTTCTTCCATGCATCAGGACCCCAGATCTTGCTATCTTTACGGGAGCACATATATTTAATATTCTTAAAAACTCCGCTCATTGTTCGTCCGAAAAGTATGTCGTCTTCGTTATACATGGTAATCACAATGAAGAGTTCTGTGTGTCTGGGCTTTGCAAAAAGTTTCTGACGCAGTGTGAATCTGTCCTCAAAGAATTCTGCGGGATCACAGGTTGCTGCGGTATAACGCATATGGGTGAACTCATCACGCTCGGGCGATAAAGCGTGCGGCACCTTGTTTAAGAGGATAGGAGGAATTGGGCAATCCAGAACAAGATTTCCCTCAAACAGCTGGACTTCTTTCACGGTTTTCCAACGTTTGATAGGCGCTGGCGGGGGTTGTGGGGTATGGTTGCCATCGAATGTGGGATCGTATCCAGGAGCGGTATGGGGGTCTGGCCCGTAGGATTCACTCCCCCCCCCCAGGATCGGTCTGTTGTCGTCCTGCTCGTTGAAGTAGCCCTCATCATGAGGGTAGTCTGCAAGACTATGGCCTTGATGTGGGGAAGGCTCGTATGGTTGTTGATAGTACGCATCATGGTGATCTTCTGGGTTGAGCGCATAGTCTTGTTGATAGTTTCTGTCCTCTAAAGGATGGCGCTGGTCGTAATGCTCGTTGTGTCCGTATGAGTTGTCAATGTTCTCAACAGAGTACTGCGACAGAGTGTTATCAAGACTGTCCCCCAAGGCTCTGCTCCAAAATAACTTACTGTTGGTTGCGATGCAAGTCTGTCACTTGGTGTCCGTCTTCCGGCAACAGATCCAGGACCCATTGGGATATCCAGTCTTCCCGGTCCCGGTGATTGTCTTCCATACGGATCATCGTCGAGGTGATACCCTTGTTGGCTGGGACCTGGCGAGTTCATGCGCCCAGTTCGAGGATCCATTTCGTAATTGTCGTTGCGGTCCTGGCCTTGCGGACCTATTGCTCAAAGTATTAGAGATTATGTCTTGCACAGTCGAGCGATTCGTGAAATTCCAATTGATCGCAAAGAGTAAGCAGAAGCTAAATTTTTGTCGCAAGGACTGTCACAAGGGACTCGGCCGCGCGCGTCTCCAAGTCCAAGTCGGCTTTGTTTGCCTATCCTCGTGCAACTTTCAAGCGCAACAAGATCTCCAGCAAAGGATTCGTAAAATTCGTGTATGGGGCAATGAAAAGAAGGGATGAAGCTTCAGGAAATATGAGACGTACCTAAACGATTATACGCCATGGGGAAAGAGTGTCAGCTTCTGCACTCCGTGAAGTGCAGGGTTGAGGACGTCGCAACTCGTAATACTCCCGCGGCAGGGCTTGGGGCTTGGGCTTGTGAAGGAGCAGCGCGGATTGTCCTCTGGTGCCCCTGC